GTTACGGTAAAGTTACCTAAGAAGGAAGCGACCAGTTCCGGTCAAACGATGTCTGGAGAAACTCGTCGTTATTGCAAAATCTTAATTTCATTTAAAATGTATGTACATCGCAAATTAATAATTAATCGTGCACAGATTATGGTTGACATTATAACATTATCAATTAGAGATGAAATATTGAAAAATGTTATCGTGACTATCTCTATAAATTTTATTTAATAGACGGATATATTGTTTGTTATTAAATACTGTTTTCTGTCTCTTTCTCTTTCTCCATTTTTTTCTGATTTATTCAATTCAATTAAATTTATATTTGCACATTCAGTATTAAATATAAAATTTGATACATTTAAGTGTTTTGTCATATTTTTATAATATAAATACAAATTTATTATTAGTTAAGTATTTTGAATATTAATATTAAAGCAAAAAAATCTTGGTCGTTATTTAAAATTTAATGTCGATTAGATTTAGATTTTTCTAAGTATATTAGTAATAAAATAAATTATTCCCGAGATAGACATTAAGAAAATACAATCTAGAAATATTAGCTTAGCTAAGTACTCGGAAGTTTTGAGGCTTCAAGAAACGTCTGGAACTTTGAAATAAAAATCGATAGAACTTCGTAGTCTAACGGTCGCATACCAGTTTTCTTTAAACTCTCCGACCGGTCGATGCACGTAAAAACACGCACGTACCTGTTTACAACACGTACACACTAGTAAAAAAAAAAAAAAAAAACGCGCAACGTTCGTCTGAATTCCATCTGTGGATTTCTTTTTCGAAATAGCTAAATAAAAAAGGAAAAGCACTAGAGATTTTGTAACATACGTCTTTTTAAATTAATTATGCGACAAAAACTTTACAAAATAAATAGTTTTGTAATCTAAAATTGCTGACATTTATTGAAAATTATATTGCTTTTTATTTTGTATACGTCTTTTTCCGCCAATCAGATGTTGAGATTATTAAGTAACGTGTATCAAATTTTCTAGCATAATTCTATCGAACAATTGAGCGAGAAATCTGAGATTGGTTAGTTAGAAAATTACGAGAAATCATTGACACTTCCCTGAAAAGGCCGCCGCTTCAAGAATACTCACGTGTCTTCAACCGCGCCGCCATCTTGCTCATCTGCCGCCATGCCAAGTCTGAATCCCCACCGCCAACATCCGTCTCTCCCATTTCTGACGACGAGGGAAGCTTCCGGATTCGCGACTCGAGATAACACGAGCGAATGAAAAATTCGCAAACCGATTTTGCAACTCGCGACGCTCGCGCCGTCCTCGCGTCGGCGTGAAGCGTCGACGACGTTGCACGCAATTCTCGCGCGAAGGTTCCCGGCATCGGTCCGCGGAGTAATGAATCCCGACGTCACGCCGTGAGAGTGATTCGTTCTCGCGTCGCGTCGCAACTCGATGAGTCATGGTCCGCTTTCGAGCGCGTTATCGAGGTCCGCGCCGATTTTCGAGGTTCGGCAGCGGCGGCGGCAGCGGCCTCCAAGTTTTTAAGACGTAAATCTTACAACTTTAAGCCTTAAGCCGTAAGAAATTAACCAATCACAGTTGAATGTAAGGAGAATAATCAATTATGATTGATCAATTTTTTACGATTTAAGACTTAAGCTTAAGTTCCACGCCTTAAAATATCATTGTAGCCGCTTAAGATGTCAAAAAAAAAAAGTATCAACTATCGAGATATAATCTTGATATTATATTAAAAAGAAATTGAATCTGAGTATTATTTTGAATTAAAAAGTTAATTAAAGTATTATAAACATGATAGACTGTCTATGTATATCATTTACGGAATGCGTATAAAATTCAAATAAACATGATAGACATGTGATGGACGTATATACGAATTAAACGTCCAGTTTCCATGTTAAGAACATAATGGATGTCTCTCGCATCCTGACCTTCTCCTCTTGGCAAACGTTACGAAGTATTTCGCGGATTTCGGGATGAGTGGCGGGGATGATAGAGAGAAATAGGCGGCAAAAGAGGGATAGAGATCGATGGTGCCCGTCCCATTCTCCAAGGAGAACTCCGTTATTTCGCAAACGCGACCTTACCTTCCAGGAATCGCGTCCTTGGATGACGGAGGTCATCGGCTCGGAAAGGAACTCTCGTTTATCCGCCGTCACCCCGCTGTCGTCGCTTCATTTTGGTGAACATCGACGATCGATACAAGCTGTCGAATCTCGCATCCGGAGTCTCACAGTGTCGGCGATAAGTCTCACGATGTCGGCCTGTGATAGCACCGGATAACGCAGCCGAAACTGATTTTTCGATATCAATTTCCAGAATAATATGCATATCGATAGATAGACGAGAGAACTTTTAATTTAACTCTGTCCTCCCTACACTTGTGTTCAGTTTCCCTACCCAGTTAAAACTACATTCGCCATTTCGTCATTTCGCTCAATTATCGCATTATTTTTCTTCACCACAATGACATCTAATACAATGCAATATACTTGTATGATATTATTGTTAAATATTAATGTGGATGAAAACATATAGTGTACCATTAAATAAATTGTTTGCTTCGTGAAAAGTTAGAAAATAAATTACAGACAAAAATCTTAGAATATAGAACTAATAATTTTCAAACCACGAGCGACAAAATTAATATTTCTTCCACATAAATTAAATCTCATACATAAAAATGTAAATAGATAACAAAAAAATGTTTACGTTCATGTGATGTAGATTTTAGTTTGACAGAATTTAATTTTAATGCAAGAAATAAGTTCAATGATATGAGTAGTTTTTAATATTTCAACTTTGAGCTTTCGGTATTCTCTAAAATCTTGAAATACTTTCCTATTTAACTGAAATTGTAGAAACATTCTTTATGAATTTATGATTGTAAAAGTAGCAATCTCTTTATATTTCTAAAAAGAAAGAATAAAGAGAATAAGAAAAGCATTGTTCTACCTACGCAATATAAAAACATAAAATTCAGGAACATATAAGGGACGAGCTCGAAGATTTAGAACATTTTTTCAGCATTTTACGAACATTAGCGTATCATTTATAGAATTTATAGTTTGGATAAACGGAAAAAAAGAATTTCTGTCAAATAAAATCTACATGAAATTACACAAACGTTAGCATTTTTTATTTGTCTACATAATTTTAATCTAATTTATATAAAAGTATCAATTTGGTCGCTAAAAAATTATTAGCAAATATGTGGCCTCCTATTTTCACAGCTGATCGAGAAGCACGTTCGAATCGTGTGGTCGGCGGACTCGTTACCTCCTGACATTTTTATCGGTCCAGCGGCATTTTCGGACGCGTCGCGTCGCATCGCATCACGGCGGTGGACGACAATGAAGTGTATGACTCGCATGTTCGAAAATAGAGAGGCACCGCTGACCCGCACGGAACCGCTGCGTGCTTCAAGATGAAGACGACGACGGAGACGAAGACGGAGACGGAGACCGAGACCACACGATGCTTATCATTATCCACCTTATCGGTCGAGGATTACGTAAGTGTCGCCCACGTCGTTCGCAGTAGTTAAGGGGCTCCGTGGGCGCGGAAAATGAAAGGGCGGTTCAAAGAAGGTTGGAGGATACCTGTGACACGACCCGTACACGCCTTCATGTGAAAGCATGCAGAAGCATTCAGAATTTAAAATATCGGAAGAATTAATTGAGATATCGTTTGATGAAAAATCCTCAAGGGCGGAAAAATGGTTTTATACTTCATGAAAATAACGGAGAGGAAAACATTCAGTTTTACGAGCAAATAGAATTGATTTTCGAGTTTATAAATACACTCCACGAAGTACGAGTATTGAAATTTGAACAAATTTTTCATTTTATCTTAAATTGTTGCTCTTTGCACTATTAAATTCATTAGATCGAAGTGTATTTTAATTTAATTTAGTTTTAATTTTTTTTCTACAGATCGCTGCTGCTCCTATTCAATCGTTAATTTAACTGAAACAATGGAATTAAACAATTTTACTCGAGAAATGTATTAAATTTGACTCAAATTTAGTTTATTATTTACTAAGTGTATATGTTAATATGAACGTTGTTTGCTTTGAAACTAACCACAGAAATGGATTTACATTTCGATACATATTGAAAGTTATAAATAACAAAATGTTATTTAATTCAAGGGATTGGGTTTACCATTGCTTTTGATATCTAACAATATACATGCAAAACATATTTTTGGTCACATGTGAGATTGTAAAAATTTAATCTAACCATTATCATTATATATAATGATTAAGCGAGAAAATATTCGAAAGTTTTAAATCGATAATCTGTGATTTTTGTTTTATTCGCAGATTCTTTAAAATGAAACATAATTTCCACTTTGTTTAAAACATAATTAGAATTCTTTTCAGTTTCACTTTCATGTAATTTCTCTTGCCTCCCTTGTTTCAAAGATCCGGAAACACAACGCACTCTTACTTATTACATCTTAAAAACGTAAGGAAGCTGCAACTGATTGTGATTCACGGCGCATTGCAATTGATTGTGAAACGGATTCAGCATCCGCGACATCGCGATAATCAGCGCGAAGAATTCGTGTTCGCTATTCTTTCGGATCATACAGAAGAATTACTCTCTTCACGTACGTGAAGTTTCTCCTCGTCCTCTGTTAAGCCTGGAGACAGAAAGAGAGAGAGAGAGCGAGCGAGCGAGCGAGCGAGCGAGAGAGAGAGAGAGAGGTGCCGCGATGACAACGTACGGCGCTTGCGAATCCGCGGCGTACCTACTGCGCAGATTCCGTGTCACGCGGTTGCTCTCTACGTCGCGCGGAAAACTTTGCAGTCCGTGGCTGTTCGCTTTCGCGCTCCTTCGTCGAGTGAGCGCCGTCGGGAATTGCGTCGCGTTTGAATTCGCGAATACGCAAACGCGAGCGCGAGGCGAGGAGACCTAACCACAGATCCGCTCACCTTTTTTTTTTTTCTCTTTTTCTCTTTTCGCGTTAATCGGATTTGAACAGGCTTATACTCTTTCTACTCACCTCTGTCTCCTCGCGCGTTCCGTTGTCCTCGGTTCGATCTTCCCGGTTTCCCTGGATGATGGCGATCCTCCGCGCTCATAAACTTCGCGGGTCAATCATCGCGCGTCATCGCGCGTCACTTCGATGCGGTCACTCCGCGCTCCGATTGGCATCTTTTTTCACGCGTGGCACGTGTCCTCCTCTCTCGCGTGCGCCGAACGTCACGGCAATGTACCGCACATCGCGAAATCGGAGTAATATCCGCAACCGTTCGTTTCTACCGAGAAACGCGGTCTTGCTCTTCCGATGAATATCAACGGAGCACATCGGTCGATCCATGGCGCGTGATATTCCACGTTTTCCCCACGTCGTCGAATGTTTTCACTTATTTTCGACGAGCGCGGACGAGTGATCGGCGAAAAGACGTAGAACGACGTGCGACTAATGCGTGATACTCGGTGGACTCGCGTGCGCAGAAGCGAGGCGCGCAACCGACAGACGCAATTCCTGTCGATTGAAGAACAACAACGACGACGACGACGACGACGACGATGATGATGACGATAACGGTGACGGCTAGGACGACGACGGCAGCGGTGGCGCTGGCACACACATACACACACTAGCCTCTCCTCGTATTGCACACTGGGTCGCCCGGCTTAGCACATCGCGCGGTTAAAATGGCCGCGCGAGTATATATCTCGTTTTCTCTTTCTTTTTTCGTTTCTCTCTCTCTCTCTCTCTCTCTCTCTTTTCCACCGCGTGTGTACATCTATCCTCGGCTCAGGCAAGATGACTCGACACCGTCATCTTCCTCATCATCGTCGTCGTCATCTTTGTCGTTGTTGTTGTTGTTGTTGTTGCATTGTCATTCGCGAAATCACGTCGCGAACTAGCGCGAGATAAATGTGAGACGTTGAAGAGGAAAAAAAATAAAAGGACAGACGAGAGAGGAGTGCGCGAGCGCGCGCGCGCGCGCGCGCGCATGCAAAACGCAACGACGATGCGTACGTACGTAATACAGCGGCGAGTATAGTAGTAGACACGCGCGAGAAGCCGCGTGGGACTCTGCCGCGAAAGCGGACGCCACGCCGCGCGTCGACGGAACGGCCCGAGGAGATGCGACGCAAGCATGCCGGGAACGCCGCGACTGGCCATTGCCAGAACTACGAGAGTAAATAACGGGCCGACGACGGTGAGTCGCTGAAGGGGAGAGAGAAGGGGGAGGGGGAGAGGGGGGGAGTGCGTACTCGGAGCGCGCCGCTCCGACCGAGCGAGAAACGCGAAAAAGGGGGGGACGGAGGGGACAGGGGAGACATCTCGAGAGTGCGTCGGGCCAAGTGCGCGAGTGTCGTCACATCCGGTATTCGGGGTGGCGCTGTACCGGGGCCGACGCGGGACGCGTACACGTGTGAGTGCGTACACGCACGTATACTTACGTATACGCGTGTGCGTACCGCGATAAAAACGGCCGTGGTGCACACGTAACCGACGCTCCGTGCGTGTCTGCGAATTGCCGCGTGGAGAGCGAGTACGGCGTAATACGACGACAAGGCGACGGCGACGATGTAAAAGACGAAGACGAGGAAGACGACAAAGTGACGACGAGTCCTATGCGAAGAAAAAATACTTGGTTTTCGTAGGATGAAATTTTCATTGGAAAATATTCTGCAATCGCGATCGACTTCCTTCTTCTTTTCTCTTTTCTGTTTTCGCGCATCTTTGCTTCATAATGAATAAAGACACGCGGTATCGACAATCAGAATATTTGAATTTGCTGTATTCCATGTGGACCTTCGTTTCGAAACGAAAATACGCGCGTGAATGTTACAATCACATCTTTATAGAATTGAGTGAATATAAAAAGGATACATCAGTGTTCTTTTCTGAATCTTTAATATATAAAACTACCGTATGCTTGAAACTTGGAATGCGACACTTTCATAAATTTCTATATTTCCTTCCCGGAACTGTCACGCTTATCGATTGCTTCGAGAGGAGAAGCTTGAATATAAAGTTTACTACTTTTCTCTTTTCAAAAAGTAAATATGGAACTTTTTGGCGATCGAAAATTATTTCTGATATTTATCGGAAGTAATATTTCAATATCTCCGACTCGAATATTCATTTCTAAATTTGCAAATTGGCGTCAGTGACGATTATTAGTAATTAATATAATTGAAAAATTGACCTCGAAGTTATCGTTCATTATTACTGTGGGAAGTACCGATTTTGTTGCTCGGAATTATCACGGATTATTGCCGATGAAAGACCTTGAATGTTTCGATGGTCTATATGCGGTCACGTGGTTGGCGACATCGCGAACACGCGGCAGTTACCGTATGCGAGAATCGATTCGATTAGAGTGAAACATTCAACTTTTTTCACCTCACCGAAACCTTTCAATTAGAGTTGGCTATCGACTTTTCCGATGCTAAATAAAAAGTATCGACGTTTTTTCAGATGAAAGCTCAAAGATATTTTTTATATTTATGTTGTTTTTCACAGATTAAATGTATGGATTGAATGTGTAATTTTTTATTTAAAGATATACCTTCAAATTATTCTAATATTTTTCATGTAAATTATACATTTGTACATAATAATAATAATGTGCTAAACTTTCTGTTTTGTCCTCTTAATAAAGTCGAATTTCTTTCACATATTTTTCGATTAACATTATTCCCTCTTTTCATAACTCTAAATAGTGAAATCTTACTCTTAAAAATTGAGTCATTCTTTTTCGACATCGTCTCTCAATTGTCACTCTTTAGAAATTTCAGAAAACTTATCTTACGTTCCTTTTTGTTAATTTGAAATTTTTACAAAATCTTTTTCACAAATCTCAATTAATTCTTTCTATTTTGAATTTTTATTATCTGAATTTTCCCGGATACACATAACATTCATAGAATTGTTTTTGTACCAAGTTTACGATAAAAACGGCTATTCATACGGTCAAACAGACGTGTAGGCGTCCTAGAATCATCCCCGTGTGATCTCGTCGAGATGATCATTTCGCGATGACGTTCGTCGGGACGCCCAACGTTGATGTCCGGACAACCGCACGAGGATTCGTTTTCTCATCGATGCCGCAAGTTATTATTGTTCTCGATGAACGACCTCGGTGCTCGTGGCTTCTACGTAGGTAGGTAACGTGATGTGTGACGTAGACCCGTTGCGGCCCGCTCGCGTCGACAGACGTCACGCGTCGTCGTGGCGACTGGAGCGATTCTCGATAATTTGACTTTTTAACGAGCCTCATCGACGCAATTCAGGATTTGCAGTTCACTTCTTTGCGATAAACGTGCCAAGAAATAAAATAAAGGTAATATGCGATCGGCTCGAATATTATTATTGTATGACTGGACGATTCAAAATTCCTTTTTTACTTAAATAAAAAATATATTGCTTTAATATAATTCAAATATTGTTTTTTTCAGTTGTCTGCAAAGAGAATTTTGATGAGAATTTAATATTGAGTTAATAAAGAGCTAATGAAAAATAAAGAATAACCTTAATTTTTCTATAATTAGATTAATTTTTCTACATTTATCTTAATTTTTCTATAATAATAAATACGAAATCATTATACCAAAATTGCATTAAAAAATCCATTAAAGAAATTTTATATATATATATAAAATTTTAATGATTCAAACATTCAAAATGAAAACTTTTGTTTTTTTAGTTATGTCATTATTGCAGTAAATAAGTGACATTTGCATCACATATTATATTATTTGATGAGTATTGATTAAACGTTATTTAAAATCGCTATAATAAAATGAATTTCAGATCATTAATAAGAGATCATTATTTAGCTTCAATAAATAATATGTATCTTTATTTAATGAAAATATTCAAATATGTAGTGCTATTCCCTGAATAAAGATTCATTACTGCATTTTACTTTCCGTTTGTTTTATCTTGCGCATGACGTTTGCATCGCGACGATCCGCATAATGTCGTTATAATCGCGAGTGCGATATGTTTGCGTTAATTAAACAAAAAATTTTCAACTCGCTCCAGAGCACAATTCTATCTTTATTTGTCATTCTAGTGCTCATTTATCCTCCGAAACTTTTGCTGTACGCATTTTTCAAAAAAATTGGAAAAATTAATAATTAGAAATAATTAGCAATCGTGAGTTGATCAAGTAAATTCATCACGAATAAGAAATATCCGTTTCAATTATATATAATTATATTTTTACTTTACAACGTCATCAAATTTTTCCTAGAAATATATTCATGGCTTTAGCACAAAGAGCACAGAAAGAGCAAAAAATGGAATTCATAAGAATTTGTTGACGACTCATCATGAATGAAAAGGATAATTTTCTACTTATCTTTAAAAAAAAAAAAACTTTCATAATTACTAGAAATGAATCACAAATTTTCTTAAAATCTCGCTCGAGTGACTCGCAATCTTGGTTTCGCCGAACTTGAAAATAGTAATATCACGGATAATAAAGCTGCGTTACGAAACAATGAGTTGATCTATATGCGTGACATAATGTCGCAAGATCGCGAGTTGTAGAAGGATAAATAGGTGAGTGAATGGTGCTTCCAAGTAATTCGATGATTCAAGAAATCTCTCACGTATGAACTGAACAACTCGATTGAATTACTAGATTGGATGACTAGTAGATTAGCAGAAAAATCATCCTAGATTAACAAATTTATCTTATGAATAGTTGCATGAATGAAGCATAAATGATATTTTGAATGAAATGTGACAAAAGTTCTAGATCAAGAATTTACGAATATAGTACACGAGATAATTACATAATAGCGAATGATAACATGCCTTATCCAAATTTAAGATTATTCGCTAAATGAATTATCTATTTATAGAATTAGCAGAATGTTTTATAAACGATAACGACATCATCAATTTTAGCATATTCAAGTAAAGCCATCTAACTTAATTTTGCGAGTTTCACAATTAAATGCATATTACATTTTGCAAGCAACCCAAGATAGAAATACTCTCTAAAGTGAAGTTAGAATAATATCGTGATCGGCGCAAACTACGAATAATTCCCCTTATCTACGAGGTATATACTTTCGTGACGTGAGTGAATCGCGCGATAACGTCAAATCTACCTATGCGTTTACGATTTGATGCCATTTTATGACACAGTATCATCGTAAATGACGTTTGTTACAATTGTCGTCACTAACGATTTGGTTTGCAAAAAAATTTTTTTGCATTAGCGACAAGTAATTTCAGCGGAAATGATTGTCTAATGTTACTAGCAGAAAATATAAAATACACACAGATAAAAAGAGAAAACCAACATAGTTGCTATTTGAATTATGCAATTATCTATCCGACAAAAAATTATACAATTTTTCGAACTGATTTTCTATATAATCGTACAATTCGAGATAATTTCGAGAATTCTCTTTCCTTACTCAATTTTATAAAGATTACTATTTTAGCACTTAGAAATATAACCCGTAAGTCTCGATCACATTTTGAGAAACATCGAATCATCAGGAGAAAATTTCAAACAAAATTATTTTTACGGATGAAGAGTTATTTTTATAGACACAGCTTTCGAACGCATGTTGTTTGTCGTAATCAGCTGTACAGTTTAGAACGTATTCGATCGTTGGTGAAGTGCGGAGAGAAGCAAGAGAAGAGAAAGACGAAAAGTTATGAACGGGCCACACGGAGGACAACAACGACGGCTGAGCGGAAAGGAGTATTTTTAGCGATTACACATTGTTTTGTTGACTGCTTCGGACGACATTGAATCGTGTGGAGACTTCATATGGTTAACGCAGCGATCTTGTGCGTATACATTACAAACGCAATACTCGTTTTTTCGTGAGAAATCTCGACTATAGGCTTGCCGAATAATTCCTTTCGAAGAGTACACTGAGAGAAATGATTTTGATAGAAACAAATCAAGGGAAAACAAATGTGTTTCAATATTAAATCAATATTTGTTAAAAAAAAAACGATCGATTTGTTACGATTGCAAATTAATTCATCAATGTAACAAATAATCAATAGTATCGCTAGCAAATAAGACTCATATATTAGGTGTAGTAAAAAGAAATCCATTATTTTTGCATGAAATTGAATGGAAAAATAATGAATTTCTTTTTACATATCTA